TGTTAAGTGAGAGGAATTTAGAGAGTTGTGTCTGTCAGGCCAGAGTGGCTGGAAATAGGATAAGTTATTAAAACCACGGACATACTTCTGATCTAATAACAGAATCCTATTACTTTTCTCCCATATCACGAAGTAGCAGGGCTAAAATGAAAGTTTTGACCACAAGCACAGTAAAAAGAGATCTATGAATAGTTTTATTTAAAAAATGGAATTAATTTTCACATGAGATCCTAATTATTAAAAAGTAACAAAAGCACTTAAATTTAAAATATTAAATATACTGAAATATTTAAAAGATCTTTGACTAAACTCATAATCATTTATTAACAAACTTTTATATATAATTGAAAGTGTGGTGTACACATCGATATGTTTCTGATCTCTTAAAGTACATCTCTTCACATTCAAAACTATGCAAGCAAGTGAAGTGAAAATCTCCTAACATGCCCTGACACATTCTTAGTCACAAGAAATCGTGTTAAACATGTGGAAAAACCAAGAACATTCCCAGACAAGTCATCATTCCAAAGCTAGATATATGTGGCTCAGACACAGCTTAAAATATTAGTCCGTAAGTCCTGTAGTCAGTTGTGAAGGACAGCATTGGACATTTCCTCCTAGAGCAGAATTTCTCAAACTCAGCACTAGCACTTAGCTAATTGTTGTGGGGGCCGTCCTGTGCGTTGTAGGATGTTAGCCGCATCCTTGGCCTCTACCCACTAGGTGTCAGCAGTAGCACCCTAGTGAACAATCAAAATGATTACATTTAATTACATTTAAAAATTACATTTTATCATATTTTAAAAGTCTCCAGACATTGTCAAAAATGCCCTGACAGGGAAGGGGGCAAAATCACCCCCAGCTGAAAATCACTGTCTTCGAGCATTTGTCATTTTCAACCTTTACCTTCTGTCCCAAACTTTGATATCTCACCAAATTTCAGAAAACCTCCAAAATTGTCTTTAAAATTTCATGTTTTCTTCATGGTCTGCAGCATTTATTCAAATGAATGAAAAAGTTTATTCAAGCTATTATAAATGAAATAAAGACAATAAAATTGGTGATTTGATGGAAAGGGGGTGCTGTTGGATGGGTAAAGTTGAAAATCACTGAACTAGAACCTTAGTGAAAGTTGATAAAGGATAATTCCAAAAAAATCCTTAGATATTTCTCCAAAACAGGCCAGCAAAAGCAAGACCTTTGAGACTAAAAGTGTTTAGTTATCAGCAAATATTTAATCTGAAGTATCTCCCTTGTGCCAATAGCAGTAAACTCTGAAGCTACAAAGATAATTAAGACATAACCCATGAAAAAAGAAGAAAAGTAATTGTAACATGAACTTACAACAGTAGACACATATATAAGGTACAATGGAGGCATAGGGAAAGGAGTGACTCACTCTGCCTGTGAAGATTTCACCCACAGAACTTTCAAAATCGGAGTCAAGCCTGTCAAACCATACTGCTGCTCCATCAATGGAGTTTATGTAATATTCTAAATTCTTTGCTTTCATTTCAAGAGTCTTCACAGCATCTTAACCAGGAGTAGATCTCAAGAAATCACTTTCTTTGCTCATCCATAAGAAGCAGCTCCACATCTGGGAAAGCTTTTATCATGAGATCGCAGCAATTCCGTCACATCTTTAGACTCTGCTTCTTGTTCTAGTTTTCTTGCTATTTCCACCACGTCTGCAGTTACTTCCTCTGCTGAAGTCTTGAACCCCTCAAAGTATCTGTGAGGCCTGGAATCAGCTTCTTCCAAACTCTTGTTAAGGTTATTTTTGACCTCTTCCCATGAATCATGAACATTCTTAATGACATCTAGAATAGTAAATCTTTTCAAGAATGTTCTCAGTTTACTTTGCCCAGATCCATCAGAGAATTACTATCTGTGGCAACTATAGCTTTATATATATATATTTTTTATAATAAGACCTGAAAGTCGAAATTGCTGCTTGTCCCATGGGCTGCAGAATGGGTGTTGTATTAGCAGCATGAAAACAACACAAATCTTGTTGTATAGCTCCTGAGTTCTTGAGTGACCAGGTGCATTGTCAATGAGCAATAATACTTCAAAAAGAATCTTTTTTTTTCTGAGCCATAGGTCTTAACAGTGGGCTTAAAATACTCAGTAAACCATGTTGTAAACAGATATGCTGTCATCCAGGCTTTTGTTGTTCCATTTGTAGAGCACAGGCAGAGCAGATTTAGTGTAAATCTTGAGGGCCCTAGGATTTGGGGAATGGTAAATGAGGCTGGCTTCAACCTAAAGTCATGAGCTGTATTAGCTCCTAACTGATGAGAAAATTAGCCTATCTTTTGAAGCTTTGAAGCCAGGCATTGACTTCTCTCTAGTTATGAAAGTCCTAAATGGCATCTTTTTCCATTATAAGGCATTTTGGTCTACATTGAAAGTCTGTTGTTTAAGTGGAGCCTCCTTCATTAATGATCTTAACTAGATCTTCCGGAGAATGTGCTGTAGATTGTGTGTCAGCACTTGCTGTTCACCTTGCACTTTTATATTATAGCAATTGTTTCTTTCCCTAAACCTCATGAACCCACCTCTGCTAGATTCAGACTTCTCTTCTGCAGCTTCTTCACCTCTCTCAAACTTCGTAGAATTGAAGAAAGTTAGATCCCTGATCTGGATTAGGCTTTGACTTAAGGGAATTTTGTGGCTGGTTTGATCTTCTATATAGACCACTAAAATCTCCATATTGGCAATAGGGCTGTTTCATTTTTGTATCATTTGTGTGTTCACTGGAGTAGCACTTTTAATTTCCTTCAAGAATTTTTCCCTTGCACTCACAATTTGGCATCACATCCCCCTACCTTGAGTTCTAGCCAAAGGGTGTATAACAGCCTCAGTCCCAACATCTAGTGGTGAAAACATGATCAATTGCTAACCTATCTTATGATCAGGTAGGATGTGAGGAGGATCTCTGAACAACTGTGTGTCTTTCATCCATTTATCTAACGCATTCCCCACGAAGTGTGGTCCACCCTTCCTTATCTGGACCCCCTTATATAGATCTATAAAAAGACAATTTTAATAAATAAACAGAGGAGAAGAGACAAATCTTTCATGAAAAAGAATTCCAAATATTCTGTTTAGATACTGCACCCTCAAGATGATGGAGTATAACTCCCCAGTCAAGTGTGGGCTGCACATAGTGACTTTCTTCCAAAGCGTGTAGTGTGGAAAGGGGGAAAAAGTGGAAATTTACAGTGAAGAAACCTGACAAACACTATCTCATGAGGAACATGGCACTGTGCTTTTGTAATCTTCCTCTCAAAACCCATAGCCCGAGTCTAATGATGAGGAAAACATCTGGGAAACACTAGTGAAGGAACATTCCACTAAATGCCTGACCAGTACCCCTCAAAACCATCGAGACCATCAACAACAGGGCAAGTCTGAGAAACTGTCACAACCAATAGGACTAAATGCAATGTGGTATCCTGGATGGGATCCTGGAGCTGAAAAAGGACATTGGATAGATCTATGGAGAGCTGAATGAAATGTAGACTTTGATTAATACTAGTATATCGGTATTGATTCACTATAACAGATAACTCTATTATAAGGGAAACTGGCTGTAGGGAATATCTAAACTACTATCTTCAAAATTTCTGTAAATCTAAAACTGTTCTGAGATGTTTATTTTTAAAAATAATATGAGAAAAGCTAATATTTATTTAACTTTGCTTTGTGGCAAACATTGTGCTAAAATTTTTGATTATATTAGCTCACTGAATACTAAGGATGACTTTATGAAATGAGTACTGTTATCCTCAACTTATAGGTAAAGAAGTCGAATAAGTAGATTTCTTAAAGCCAAAGTCTGGGAAATTGGGGAGGGAGGATTCCAGTGCAGTCTGTCTTACTCTAGATTCCATGCTCCTTTTTTTTATCATATTTGTATAACTTATTAACAGACATTGAGCACAAGAAGAATGCTTGTTTAGCGTTTTTCTAAAACTAGCAGTCGTCAAATAGGCCAACAAGGAAGAACTAAAGAGAAGAATCTGCGCTTGCCACCAGATAAAATAAATGCACTTCTCAAACAGATTGGAGAATTGAGGTTTGAAGTAAAGGCAGAAGAAATTCAAGGAATGATGAATCTCACTGAAGCGTTAAAGAAGTGCTTATCCCCCGAACTGTGACTCTTGAAACTTTTGCAGACTGGATGAAGTTGGTCAAGCATTTGAAATGTGTTGAGTTGTAGGACATATACTGTCTAACACATAGGCTATACTGGAGTTAAAATCAGTCAAAACAATTGTAAGGAAAGTAGGGGGAATAAAATCTAAAGCACCTTAACATGACTGTTCATATACTGTGTCTTACCCAGGTTCTCTTTAGAACTGGGTGTCTCCCTGAACCTAAACCATAGCCCACTGAGCTAGGACCCAATTACACAGAGTAACTACTATTAATCCCTTTTTCTGCAGTCTAGGAGATGGGCAGCAGGGAGCAATGGAATTCATGACTTATACTCCCAGCTGCCAGTCAGTGCGTACTTCAGTTTGTAAGTTTGCCTGTTTGTCCTTGCCTGAGTATGTTCTACCCCAGTAGCACCTCAGTTCTGATGCCTTCATCAGGTGCTTGCCCTTTCTAGGCTTTTACTGGATTTGACACTCAATAATGTCATCTATAAAATGAGACCATGAATATATGTGTTACAGAGTGATGTTAAAATTAAGTAAGATAATGTCTTCATAAAATTTCCATAGAATCTCTCATCTAATCTTATGAGGCTGGTAGTTGAGCATTTGATTGAAAATGTTAATTAAAGCATGAAATCATACCTTAAATACTGAGTTTTTTACTTAGAAACATTAATATAATTTTATCCACTGAACTTTTGGTATAAGAACAAGGCCATTTGTTTTGTTTTGGTTTTGTACACAGCTTTGTATATAGATTTACTATTTGGAGTAAACTACCTTAACTTCTTTTCATCAAACATAAACATACCTATAATGAGTAGTCTACAGTATCCAGCTTTGGTTCAAAGTGAAGAAAAGGACTTCCATTTTTTAAAATAGGAAAGTGAAAATGAGTTTCTCACCTTTTTTTCTTCAAAGTCACACTAAAGCAACAAATAGAATGAGAAACAGAAACACAAACTCCTTCTTTGAAAATCAGAATGCATGTTAAATCTCAAACCATGTGTATTATGAAGTACAGTGAAGGAAACAAGGGATGCAGAAAGATGCCAGGAGAAATTGCCCAGGGTTATATATAGATCACTGACAAAACCAGCAGAATGTAGTTCTCTAAAGTAGCATGTCCTGAGGAGCAAATACAATCAACTCAGTAAGAATAAATCTCAACTGGTGGGAACAGAATCATGTAAGTGATCTAGAAGGTGGCCTTCTAACCACAAGAGTTCAGCGTATTATGGGTATTGTGTTTTAGAGAAGAAGAAAAAAAAAAGAAAGCGGTGCTTGTTGATGGATTTAAGTGGATGTTAGAGGAAATTAACTATGACTATGTGTCCTTATTGTGTTCCTGTTGCCTTTGAATTATTCTCTAGGATATATAGTTTTAGATTAATTGTTTTAAACTTTAATTTTACTCAAGATGTTTATTGAGCTCCTACTATGTACCCCAAACAAAGAAACAAGTGAAAAAGTAAATATTTCATCACTACTTGTTGAAATCAAACAAAATTAATAGAATGTTATTGGTGATTTTATTTATGCTATGCTGAATAATCTATATAGATGCAGAAGATTTAAATGAAAGAATTTAGTTATATTGACTCCTTCCTGAATATCCTTAGAGCTCTTCAGACACCTAAGATTGTTTTAAATTATTATGTTTATTTTACTTTAGAGTATGTTTGATAAAGAAAGAAATATTTTTTCACTGTTGTTAAGTTTATTTATTATTGTTGTTTTATCTTAAAGCTGCCAGAAAAAACTATAATGGACTACTACGAGAAGTATAAGCCTAGAATGAATGAGCTGGAGGCTTTTAATATGGTAAATCTCAGAATTAAACATATTAAACTAAATATGTTGCTAGACTTGAATAGGATCCTATTAAATTTTATAACAGGACCAACCAATCTGTGTTGTTTGTAGAAAAACCGTTTTGAATCATTTCCTATTTCAGAACTATATTAGGTGTCAGTAATGTAATAAAGAGAACACATGGTAGATTTCTCTTAAAGTGTATTATAAATTTACGGAAAGAAGTTTTAGAGTTCTTTGAACACATATTGGTCTCAGTTATTTCACAAGCATTCCTTTTAATGAATTTCATTCTTAGTACCCCTTTAAAAGCTTTCTATCACATATGTATGATTGCTTTTGGAGTCTACCCCAAAGTCACTCAAAGGACATTAGTTTCCTATTACTATTAAAGAACAACTTTTGATCTCTGAAGTATTCATTTTCTGAAGATGTACATTGGGTATTGGAGATTTGACCTTAACACAAGTTTCTGTAGGTACATTTTCTTAAACACAAGTGTTA